TCCCTTTAAAGTGGTAGAACGCGCCGAAAAATATTTCGTAATTGACAAAAATGGCTCGCGTGATACTGTGAGCGTAGACCGTCTCAAAGATGCTTATACCGAAGACACCAATGTTCCTTCCACATGCTCAAGCAACGACGAACTTCCCCTACAATCTCCCGTATCCCCACCCTGGCCAACATCCCGTTTTGGCCGACCCTTAAGACCTGTTGTTAGCTTTGCTGATTCCATTCGATAATTTTCGAGCGTATACTGTCTTACAGCTAACGCTCTCGGGGGGGAATATTTGTAGTGGACTGACAGCCGCCCCGCGCGAGTGTGCGTGCATGAAGGCCCGTGTGTAGCGATGACTCATCCCCTTTTGTTATTGATTTTTGTCAGCATTCGTCTGTTACGCGCGCGTACTCATACGCAGAAAAAGTCACCTGGTTGTTTTGACATCAATAAACCGGTCGTGTCCGCTCTCGCCTCTTCTCCATTCTACTCGAGTTGTCTTGGGCTGTTAATTAGAGGGTTGCAAGGTAGTGCGAAGATCAAGCTACTACAGGTGGATGCTGGTAGATAGATTATGTGTTCCAAAAGTGCCAACTCGAATCGTCGACTAGTTGGTCGACATCCCGCAATCTGCACAGAGTGTCAATCTAACCCGAGGTTACCTACTAACTCAATCTGCCGCACACAACATTTTCATGTCGACCACCACTGTCGTTTTGTTTGGCTACTATTACGTCGGCTCACATGTCATACTAATCACGATGAGTGTGCTAGACTGAGTATTTAGTAGCAGGCAGTTTGTTGAAGGCCTTATGAAGTCGGTGGCATGGCACCAGGGACATCATGAAATCGCATCTAGCCGAGTGCGCGTTTCGCCGGACCAATCACCTTGTGCATGCGACCATTACGCTCTCTCATATGGCCAATGCGATTTAAGCGCGCAAGGAACGTGCGCACACACAAACACACGACAACCACCACCAGCACCAGCAATTCCGTGTTTTATTACTGCAGACTTGGCTTATGAGAAAGGACACAGTGGAATCTCAGTCCCCTCCGAATTATGCAATTAAACGAGAACCCAGATGATTCCTCCGTGCATTCGACGTCATCAACACAGCCTCCACCAACAGACCACAAGCATCAACACGTCTCCGAGGGAGTTGGTGAGAACAGACAAATCACTGCCCCAGCCCTCCATCAGGCACCTCAGGATGTGAACTCTGCAGCATGTGGGCCAAACATGCTTCCACCTCCGAGCTCCCAAGCCATCTCTGGACAGACATCGGGTCAGACGCCTGTACTAATACACCCAAAATCCCAACCGCCAATGCAAAGTTCAAGTAGAACTAACCTTGATCCTACCGCACAAAGGCAGCGCTGCAGCAAGTTTGGTGAGTTTGTTTGGGCGTTTCGAATCTGCATCTTCTAGGACGTCGCGACTGCGTCAACCTAGTACAGGAACTCGCAGCTGCTACCACTGATTAGGTATTTGTTACCTGCTAATTAACTGCCCACCAACTCATACCGCCAAATTCCGGATGTTTTTGCCAATCCGCGTAAGATTTATCATTAGAAGCTAGTTAGACATCATCTGAGTGCTGGTGATTTATAGTGTGGTTCCTTCAACGTGCCTATTCGTGCTGAGTTCACCCATGGTAGCATACTCGGACCTCCATTCCTAATTACCAATTGCTTCACAGCCAGAAATCTACAACACGTCATACATATGCACGAGCTGCCTTTGTTGTTTCTCCTACGATGTCTACACGTGACTAGATCTAGCAGTTGACATAAAGAATAAACTGATATCTCTCTTTTTCAAGCTGCGTCCGACTCACGTCTTTCATGCTATAATTAAAGGATGTTTGGTTGATGCCTCTTCATAATTTACGAGTAAAGTGTGCGGAAGGAAACCACACAATTACAATAGATGTCCTCTGTCGGAGGAAAGTGCCAGGATCTGCACATGGGCGTCATCTGGCGATTTCACATGAGTTTCATCCAAATCCGTGAACGAGTTGGTTTTTCCATATTAATTGACCGTTTCACATGAAGCTGTCGAATGAAGCATTCGACCTCAGTCGAAGATAACCACTGGAGCTTGAATTCATCCCCGAAATTATCGCCCGAGTTTGTTTACAGTCCCACTGCATTATGAGAGCTCGAAGTAATCATGATTTATGGGGGTATCCATGTTCAGCGTCATGCGAGACTGTCAAGTTGGTGCTTTCGTGCCGCTGGTTTCAGCGAAGATTTTGCTAATAGCTCGTCCATTGCCTGATCTCGTTTACATTGAGGTCTCCATTCCCCTGAGTTCAGGTCCCTTTAGATGCTCGCACACACACACCAAAGTAAATGGCATGAAACACCAGTATTGCAGTCGCATGGAACTATCAGAATGACAAGGGTTTTCTACATCAAGTGAAATTCCTTGCACCACGTCCACCAACACATTGCACACAATATTCCATCCATAAAATGCACTGAGTATGAATTTGGTTGGATGCAACAATTCCTGTCAACTGTAGAATACACGAACCCTACAACAGCACAGGCTTTATTGACCAATCACAAGACAGAACCACACGTCGGACGCCGCCCATCCGAGTCCACCACGCTGGCCACGCCGCTCATTACATGTTGCACCTCATTCATTTCCTTCTCTGGTCGGGTGCTTATCTTCCTCGCATGCCAGTGGAACGCACACACAAACACACGACAACCACCAGCATGACACACGGTCAGGATGGACCGCGCCTGGCGTGTGGTTCTGGCTTGTGATTGGTCAATGAAGCCTGTTCTGAAGTACCAGTCTTCTTCATACTAGGACTCGGCCATTCTACGCTACTCATCAAGTCTGTTCTCTGCACTCAATGAGCGCCAATCAAACGTTGGGATTCCAAGGACGTCGAACAGCCAATAGCGGATTTCCGACAGTTCACACGGTCCTCATGAATATTACTTCTTAACAATATGATCAACGAACCTTAGATGTTGCCACAGCTCCGTTTTCTATTTACGTCCTTACAATTACGCCTGTTAATGACCGATGAATGGACACATGGTTTGCAAACACGTCTTTGTTTTACTCGTTCAAAGCACCAGCTAAGTGATCATGTGATATCTCTTCACTCAGCTAACAGTGCTCAAGTCACCTTCGAATCTCATGTAAGTTGTGCTGGTACTTTAGTTCGACTAGCAAGCGCATTGATGACTGGCG